ATGTATTCCTTAAATGTTTGGTAGAATTCATGGTGAAGCTGGACCTTTACTTTGTGGGAAGGTTTTTTAACATTAATTCCATTTGATAAGAGATATAGGGTTAATCAGGTTATATATTTATTCTTGAGTAAATTTAGGAAATTTGTGTCTTTCAATGAATTTTTCTATTTCATCTGAGTTGTTGAATTTATTAGCATAGAGATGTTCATAGTATTCCTTTATTATCCCTATAATAGCTATAGATACAATCTGCAGTGATGCCACCTTTCTTATTCCTGACATTGGTAATTTGTGTCTTCTCTATTTCCTTTCCTAATCAGCCTGGCTAGAGGCTTATCAATTTTAAAGATAGTTCTTTATTTTTGAAATCTATTATTGGCAAATTGAATCCATTGTGCTAAAATCCTACTCTACCAGAGCAGTACATGGTATGAAAGCACTCTACTGATCCAATGAATGAAAAAAAACCCATTGATTTCTGCATGTAAAGTCCTTTTAATATTATTACTCTCTTTTAGACATTAACCATTTCCTTATCTCTTAGGTCAATTATTTAGGGCTAGTAAGATACAAATCAGCAAAATTGCCAGAGGCCAGGTTAAATGCTTGAGGATGTGTTCCAAGAGAAGGCTAAAGGGAGGTGAGGCAGGTGACTGGCACTGAGGAGAGAAGGAACCTTGAAACAATGAAGAAAACAGATGGAGGCTGAGGACACAGTGAATCAGAGAAAGTATAATAAAACTATAAGGCAGGAATCTTGGGATATTAAACTAGCAACTTAAACAGGATGAAACAGTATAAACTCTAGTAACAAGAAATGAAGGTCACATAAAATCAAATTCAAGAGTGAATACTCAAAGTTACAGTAAAATATTCAATTTAATAGCATCAGTGTTTCAAAAAGATATGTGAGAAATGTTCAGAAATTAGAGGAAAAGGTTACATAAATTAGCTTCAGTAAATTATGAAAAATAGGATTTCTATTTATACTCAACACTGAAAAATAATATACTGGGTCTATTTTACCTATGTTAGCAGGAAGATCTTAAGATTTCTGGTCAGATGAAGGAACCTCAAAAGGGTCATAACATATGTAGGTGGGGAAAAAGCACAAATCTCTCCTTGCTCTCCCCAGGCTAAAAAAAAAATCACTGACTTGATTAAACTTGAGTTTTGTACTAGCCAACCACAGTGACTTCGGGTTTGCATGTTCCCTATGCTTTTTTGTTTTAGAAGATTGTTTTCCTTTACATTCAATCTGCACACATTTAAAGTATACACTTGCATTAATTTTCACATATGTGTATACCCATGAAACCATTATCACAACCACCAAAATAATGAACACAACCGTCACCCCCAGATGTTTCCTTGGCCCCTGTGTAATCTCTCCCTCCCAGGCCACCCACGCCACGACCCCCACCAACTTTCCAAGAACCCAATGACTTGCTGTCGCTCTAATGTGTATTTTCTATAATTTTATATAAATGCAGTCAAAGTGTTTACTCTTTTTTGACTGGCTTCTTTCACTCAGCATAATTATTTTGAGATTCATCGAATTTGTTGCCTGTATCATCTGTTCCTTTTTACTGCTGGGTTGTATTCCACTGTATGGATATGCAATAATTTATTAATCCATTCACCAGTGGATGGGCATTTGGATTGTTTTAAGTATTTGTTATTACTAAAGTTGCTATATGTGGACATGCTTTCATTTCTCTTGGCTAAATATCTAGGAGTGGAATGGCTAGGTCATATGTTTAAATTTTTAACGAATTGCCAAAAATTTTCCAAAGTATTTGTACCATTTTGTATTCTCACCAGCTGGGTAAGAGAGTTCTAGTTCTTCTGCATCCTCCCCAACACTTGGTATGGTTAAGGAGAACTTACAGGGTCTGGGATTCTGCTCAGTAGGATTTATAAGCAGTCATTTATAACTTAGCTAACTGTTTGAACATGGGCAAATCACTTGACCCTTCTAAATATCGCAACTATTAGAACTGCTAAAAAACAAAAACATCTGACAATATCCAGTGCTGACAAGGACGTAGTGCAGCTGGAACTCTTGTGTGTTGCTGGTGGGGATGCAAAATGGTACGGTCATACAAAAGTTACTCCTAGGTGTTTACCTGAGAAACGAATATTTACAGTGGCTCTATTCATAATTATTAAATGTCTTGTCATAGAGAAGTTTTAAATTTTAATGCAGTCAGATTTAGTTTAGGTTTTTATTTAAGAGTAGGTTTGGATAAGGATCAAAGAGAATTTCTGAGAGCAGTTAGCAACTGGTGGGAAAGGTGCTCCATCAAAGGAACACTACCAGTAAAATCTGTGTTCACAACTATCTTGTTAAAGCTTAGCTATTATAGGGCCAATTGTGGAGATAATGACTGCATCACAGAAATGGTTAATTCTAGAAATCACTTACGAACTTCCCAGGACCATTCATCATTAGAAACCAAGGGAAACTTCAGCAGTTTATTATCCTCCATCAGAGACCAAGGTTCTCTAGAGGATAACATGTACTGGAATATAACAGTAAAGGAACTAGTTGTGGGATTTGCAGATAAAATATAGGATGCCCAGTTAAATTTGAATTTCAGATAAATAACAATTTTTACATGAGACATACTTATACTAAAAACTTATTTGTTGTTTGACTAAAATTCAAATTTAACTGGGTATCCTGTATTTTTATTTGCTAAATCTGGCAACCGTAAACTGGTGAGACTCTTGAATCAGATTGTCTTGTTTAATGTAACTTAGCCTTGAGAAGAAATCCAATTACCTGTGAAGAGTAATCATTTATTATATTTACATGGAAGTTCCTTAAGTTTTTCAAAAGTAGAACTTTTTAAAATGAATTTTGCATGGTATAGATTACAAAATGAAGATGGCTTCATAATTATGTTAACTACAAATTCCAAAATTATAAACACTGCCCTTCTTATTCTGTTTAAAAAGATATAATGGGTCTCTATGAATAAAAAGGTTTTGTTGTCCTTCTCAACATGGAAAACAACATTTGATTTTGTTAGTAAATGTGAAGGACTAAAAAAATATTTGTATGCTGAAAACACCAAGTATGTATTTGTTAGAAATTCCCTATTGGTGCAAACTCCATTTTAAGAGTCATTCAACCTTCACTAATGATGAATGCTATCACATACTGTAGTCTTCCTGTAATGGAACAAAAGTCTGTCTGTAACTGCATGACAGTAATGGAAGAGGGAAGGGAAGAAGAAACAAGGAGAGGAGGGAAAAGAACTCATCAGCTTAAGAATATTTTAAGTTGGGGATTAGACTGTTATAAGTTTTACGTTTTTCAAATGATACTTTTAAATCACTTTATGAAAAGAACACCAAAGACAACTTTTAAATGTCTGACTTTGTGCATAAGGATCACTGGTAAAAATACAATGGCAATTCAAAAGTAATTTTTCTCAATTTAAGTAAACATAGCTTTTGACCATCTTACTATACGTTAGATGCCGGACCAGGCACTTTGTGGGATACCCCTGTGACTGAGGAGTACTTGGGGAACTAAACATCTAGTAGGGTAGAAAGACACAGGCATAAGTAAATGCAATATATTCAATACAAGGTGAGTTGTCAAGTAAAATAATACAGATTGAAAATACTATTAGAGCATAAAAGAGTGTGATATTCTGGGGGGTGGTAAGAAGTCAGCAAACGCTTCCTGGAAAAGTGGCTCTTGAAATGACTCTGGATAAGTAGGGATGGGGTGGGGGGGACAGAAGGAGCAAGAGGCTGAGGTCGGCAGGTATAAGATTTAGGCAATGCCTGAATAACTCTGCTTTACCTGGCTCCTGCTTCTTCTGCCTCAGGTCTGTTCTCTTACCACCAATTTCTCCTCCTCAATGTGCCTGAGCATTTTACTCACCATATCGCTCCTCCCATTTGTCTAACCAATTTATAATCCCCACTGGGGCCCAGTTTTACTGTTGCTTTCTCTGCAAAGTCTTCGCCGACCATCTTTGCCTTCAAACTAGTTGGGCTCTGTATCGTTTTCTCGTGGCACACCATAACTTCATATGCTAATCACACCTGCAGTTAAGAATTACATGGGGGCTTCCCTGGTGGGCGCAGTGGTTAAGAAACCGCCTGCCAATACAGGGGACACGGGTTCGAGCCCTGGTCCAGGAAGGTCCCATGTGCCGCAGAGCAACTAAGCCTGTGTGCCACAACTACTTAGCCTGCGCTCTAGAGTCCGTGAGCCATAACTACTGAGCCTGCGTGCCACAACTACTGAAGCCCGTGCGCCTAGAGCCCATGCTTCGCAACAAGAGAAGCCACCACGAGAAGCCTATGCACGGCAACAAAGAGTAGCCCCTGCTTACTGCAACTAGAGAAAGCCCGCACGCAGCAATGGAGACCCAATGCAGCCAAAAATTAATTAATTAATTAATTAATTAAAAAAGAATTACATGGGATAATTGTTTAACATATAACTCTTTAGATTATGCAGTCCACAAATACAGGGACTTTTTTCTGTCATGTTCACCGTTAGGTCTCCTGAGCCTTAGCACAATGCCTGGCACATCAAAGATACCCAATAAATTTTTTATGATCAAAAATTCATAAATTTTTGATGACTGAATTCTAAAACGTGTGGTTGAATATAGCTTCAAATGCTTTCACAATGTTGATAGCTATGTTATACTACAGGGCGTATAAGAAAGGTATATAAGCAAATTAACAGCATGATGCATAAAGATTTCCAATTAAAAGCAATTTCGTAGAAGACATAGCATATATGTGCTAGATACGAACATCTTTCTTAGTGAAGGGCAGGAAAACTAGAAATTTAACATAAACAATAATAAAAGCACACATGGAATATTAAAACAGAAATCTCCATAATCTTCAAATAACTTGATTTTATAGATAGCACCTTCCATTTTAGATACTAAAGAGTATATTTTTATTTTTTTAGTCATATGCAAGAGCTATCTACTCAAAATTTAGCTAATCTCAAAATATGGTCAATATTTGAATTTAATACCTAGTTAATATTCTTACAAAATTCAGTAACTTTCATAATCCTTTCCAGCCCCCCAAAATAAAAGGATTTTAAGTGTCCATATACCCATTCAATGAATCTATAATTTTACTCTCTGTAGCAAGATCCCAGTACATCATTACCAGATTTATATTGATTAGAAAGGACAATATTCAAGCTGATACATCATTAAAATATCTAATGTATGAATCTAAAGTTGCCTCCTAGTTCCAACTGTATTTGAATGACACACTTTTAAAATTTTTATAATTAAGTACTAGAAATACTTAATTGTAGAGACTGAAGAATATATTGGATATGCTTTGTTTTATGAAGTCTGGTTTTCCAACTGTGAGTTATTGGCACTTAGGGGAAAAAAACAATCACTTAAATGAAAACTAAAAATATAAAGCCTATGTTTAAAACATGGCCTTTATTAATACTGCCCACTGAGCTCCATTTTTATTTTACATTGAAATACTTCTGCTTTGCAAAGAAAAGACAGAAAAGTGCATTTTACAAGAGTACTTTTTTGTTTTTAATTCTCTGCGAAAATGGAAGGAATCTGAATCACAAGTTCACAATGTGGTAAAATGAAATTAAGAAACAATGATTTCATTAATGCTATGCCATCACTAGTGTTTGGCTCTGACTCTGTTCTTGTAAATCAGATCCTGATATACAGTCTAGAGCATCTAGGTTATTACTCTACGCATATTAAACACAGGAAAGAAGGTTTAAAAAAAAACCCTTTCAATGTACAAACATGAATTTAAAAACTGATTTTAAAAAATCACCTTTTTACATAATGTATATGGCAAAACTGCTTTAAATACATGGTTTTGGAAGAATTATTTACAAAATGTATCAGTCTGTGAAACAATTCACAAACAAAGCATACATAATTGCTTTACTTAGTTGTTGCATCTCAACTTTGGGAGATATAAATTTATTCGGCAGTATAGCAAACATAAAAACTGTGACAAAATATCTTAAGGGCAACCAAAAGTTTGATCCTCAAAACAGTTTAAGTACTAGGACTGCCAAAGTTTCTAAACAAGGACATACTTTAATGATCCAGATGCCCATTTATAGTTCTACACTGTTTGAAGGACTGAGACAGACTCCCTTCAGTACAGGCAAAGCCGCTGGATGCAACCTCCTGTAAAAGGGACAGCTGTGAGCTATTGTCATTCGAAGAGTGAATTAACCTAGAATTTTCTTTTTTTCAATTTTATTAATATTTTAAAAAATACATAAAAATACAACATCCAATGTCTGAATAAATATATTTAACAAGTTGCAAGATAATACCTTATTTTACACAAAATTTTCAGCTTTAGAAATCTTGTTAAATAACTTCATTGTTGTTATATATTTCATTTTTGTCTTTTTGTAACAAAATAAAAACTCTGAAATTACATAGAAAAAAGACAAAATATTTTTGTCAAGGGATAAGATAGTCCACTGAAAACTTATTCACAATTCCACTGTAAACATTAATAAACATTAAAATATTTGCATAATTGTGTGCTCAAAAATCCTATAAAAAGTGGAAGACTTATTACAACTGTAGTTTTCAGTCAACTACACTTCCTTTCACAATTTATTTTGTCCCATTTACACCTTAAACCTGGGCACACTGCTGAACATATACTTTGGCAGTTCTAAATAGCAAGTGCTTCCACAAAAAAAAAAAAAAAAACAAAAAAAAAAAAAACAGAAAAACAACAACAATAAAAAAACACAACATAAATCCCCTACTCACCAAGTGTTCAAATACATCTCAGTGAAAGTGCAGCAGTAACTATTTAGCTGGATATTTTGATGTTTATCATGTGCACTTGCTTGTCTATGATTTCTATAACACCTGAAAGCTTTATTATACAAATTCAAATTTGCTAAGTGCCCTTTTTCTATCTTCACAAAAAAATGAAAAAAAAATTAAAAAGGAAAAATTATGACAAATATGGCAGGCTGCCTAAACTTCAGTTATTAATCAGCTTATTTTTCTTGCAACAGAAAAAGAAAGAAAAGAGAAGGGAATAGATACAATCCAGCCTGGAAAAGTGTACAGGATATACTTAGCAATGTCAAACCAGTTGAGTGCTTTCTGTGGTTGTATTTCAGGGATTTGGGATGTATGTCCTTGGCAGCAAACTGCTGGGAAGGCAGAGAAAACATTTATCACCTGCATTCTACAGCAAGTACGTTCTGTGGGGGAGATGATGAGGAGGGACTCATTCCAGTGTCTGATGAAGCAGATGACATGGAGGCTCCTGCATGAGACACTGTAGGATCAAAGAAGCTACATTAGACCCGACAACTATCACACAAAGATACCCAGCCACCGGCAAATCAAAAATAAATTTCTTAACATTATTCACTTCAATTATAGTCCTCTTAAATGGTGCATGAAGGAATAACAACATTTTGTCAGCAAAAATTTTGTTTGGTTCAATTGAGTGGAATCAGTCTCTCATCACTTAAGTAACTCAGTTCAAAAAAGGCACCAGAAAATGTAAAGACTAAAGAGATATAAAATCTTAAATCCCAGGCTTCTCTGGTGGCGCAGTGGTTGAGAGTCCGCCTGCCGATGCAGGGGACACGGGTTCGTGCCCTGGTCCGGGAAGATCCCACATGCCGCGGAGCGGCTGGGCCCGTGAGCCTGCGCGTCCGGAGCCTGCGCGTCCGGAGCCTGTGCTCCGCAACAGGAGAGGCCACAACAGTGAGAGGCCCGCGTACCGCAAAAAAAAAAAATTTAAAAAAATCTTAAATCCCTACTTGAAAGATCCCTGAAAGAAACTCACCTTGTCCCAAATCAGAAACGAGATCAACCTGAGATAAATTTTCACTATAGCAAATTCCTGCTTTATCTCTGGGTTATAGGACCATACAAGAATTCACTTATCCTAGAGAATTTCTTTTAACCAGCTAACCATTGGCTTCCTATCTTTATCCTGTCCCAATATACCCGATGGACACAAAACTCTCATAAGCAAGAAGCAGTAATCTAAGTCAGGTATCAGAATCATGGGATCAGGATGGAAATGTGGGTGAGTGATTAGAAAAAGTCTTCAAATGACTTTAACAAAACTCTCCAGGAGCATGGAGCTTGGATTAAAGATCATTACTCTATACATCAGGTGCTCTGTCATTTTTTAGTTTTTACTTTTTTCTTTGCAGGGCCCTCCTATCTCCTGCTAATCTTTGCCCAATTATTCCTATTTTACTTAAAGTCTTAATTTTTGTTTAAGTATACATTCCTCAATGTGTGTACTGCCAAAATGACATGTAACTCATCACTACAAATTCTAATATGTGTGCTAGAAGTCACTCAATGTTTCACTTTAATAACTCACTTCACACACAAAAAATTAAGAAAACAAAAAAGGGAAGACGACTATAAGAAAATCATCTTTTTAGTTGTCTGAACTTATATGACGTTTAGGAAACTCAAAGCTGTTGAAGGTTCTCTGAAGAAAAGCTCAATTTGTTAATTTGTTCTTCTTTCTGTGTTTAAAAATGCTGTAAAGACTTCTTGCTATTTACAGTTTTTAAAGAAAAGGACAGGGGCTTCCCTGGTGGCGCAGTGGTTGAGAGTCCGCCTGCCGATGCAAGGGACACGGGTTCGTGCCCCAGTCTGGGAAGATCCCACGTGCCGCGGAGCGGCTAGGCCCGTGAGCCATGGCCACTGAGCCTGCGCATCCGGAGCCTGTGCTCCGCAAAGGGAGAGGCCACAACAGTGAGAGGCCCGCGTACTGCAAAAAAAAAAAAAAAAAAGAAAAAAAGAAAAAAAAAGAGAAGGACAAACATGGAAGGTCGATCTCTTTCCTTTTGCTCCATCACATTTCCAGGAACTGAAAACTGCTGGACCTGGAGTAGATCCAAGACCACATATGACACAGGCCATTTTATTAGTAATTCATCCCCTAACTCTCTGCCATAGATAGAAAACTTCTCTCAAGATGGGCAAGCCTATCAGATAATTTACTGTTCTTTTTCTTAAAGGGACATCCCTCCTAGAGCCCTCCCCTCCTGTTCCATCCTATTCCTGAAATAGTTGCTTTGTAGGCCTGTTATGTAGTGATCATTCTAGGGCTTCCATGTGCCATCACCTTGAGATTTTCCTTACTGTTTTCCTATGTGGGATTCCTTGTTTGCTGGATGTCATGTTATCTTAATAGCTTGGCTTCTAGTTTTTAATGTCACCATTGAGAAATCTGACGTGAGAAATCTGATGCTGTTCTGAGACCCAGTTTTTTGTATATACCTTTATATGGTAAGCTTTTGGAACCTTACCTCTATCCACAGGGTTCTGAAATTTCATAATGTGCTTTGGTGCGATCTTTTCCTCCATTCTTTATAGAGGTCACAGGGAGTGCTTTCAATTTTCTAACCCATCTCCTTCAGTTCTGGAAGTTTTTCTTATTTCTTTGATCACAACTTCCTCCTATGTTTATTCAGTGTTCTCTTTCTAGAAATCCTATGATTCAGAAGTTGGATGTCCCAGCCAGATCCTATATTTCTCTTAGTTATTCTCTCCTATTATCTTTTTGATATTTTACTGGGATTTCTTTAGCCTTGCTATCTTACCCTTCTATTTATTTTTTATTCCAAATATCATATTTTTAATTTTTAAGAGATGAATTCATTGATAGTATCATATTCTTGTTTCAAGACTGCAATATCTTTCCTGTAACTCTGGATATTAATTATAGTTTGTTGTTTTTATATGGCACATTGTCCAAGTTACTTTTTTCTATTGAATATTTTGGTTTCTGTCTTTATGTAAAGGCTTTCCTCAAACATCTGGTCTTGTGGCTTCCATATTTAAGGGGGAGCATTAAAAAGCTAACTGGAGGCTATACATGAGGCCGCCGGGCTTTTAAATGTTGGGCAGTGCACACATAGTGATTTGTAAGGATTTTGCTTTTTGGTTCAGGAACCTCCAAATGCTGGTATCTATGTTAGATCACTTCCCTTGGGCTGACCAGTTTCTCCAGAGGAACCTTTCAATCTCCTTCCAGGAATGAGCATAAGCTTGGTTACCAGCTTTCAGAGAGACAAGAAGATGAGATCGTTGGTTGGAAAAGGGACAGAAGTCTCATCATTTAGTACTGGAAACTTTCGCTCAAGCTCATTAATTTTGGTTTAGCACCTAACCCTCACCTTCAGCTATGGCTGGTGTCCCTGGGTCTTTCTATAAGCCTGTTGATCCCTCTCAGCCTCCAATAACTTAATCTCTTATTTTCTGCTGGAGTTAGGGGAAAAGGTAGTTTGCTTCAGAGGGTGGGATGAAAGGATCCAATTTCTCCTTCCTTTTTCAAACCATCTCCAATTTTCATCCTCACACCTCACACTGTCCTCAGAGCTTTTCTGGGGTGATGTAGTATGAATTAGATTGCTTCTCATTGTTTTGTCCCACTAGAAGGATAAACAAGCTTAGGTGTTTAGCTTTCTGTCATCTGCTAGGACAGTTACAGTCCATCTGCTTCTCAGCTTCCAAAAGATATGCTGCTGACATTTCTTGTCTACCGTAGTCACTCTGCTGTCCCATTCTCTCGTCCTTGTGGGTATAGGGCTTTTAATTTTCTTTACTATTATTTTAGTGAGGCCTGGGCTTGGGGTAGATATGAGATGTCAATGTTTAACTAGAAGTCAATGCTATACATTTTTAAGGTTTAGTTCAGATGCTATTCTCTCCTCATGATTATTCCGAAGTCATCTCTCCTTCCACCAACTCCTGTTCTTGTTAATATCACTCTCAGGGCCCTCAACATACAGTTCCACTAGACGTTAAGACTTTGAGATCGAGGTCTGTATCTCATTCATCTCTGTACTTCCACCACCTGAAAGAGGGCCTGGCATATGGTATGTGTGCGTTAATGTTGTAAAGCTGAACTATCTTATATAGTAGTTGCTTAGGAAATGACTTATGATCCCAACAAGATAACCTCCTAGAGGATAAGCCATATCCCTCTTCATTTTGATGAACCCCATAATGAAAAATACAGTGCCTGTTAATAGGCAGCCAATAAATGTTTGTTGAGCAGTGAGAGAAATTCAGAGGGAGTAATAAGCTCTTCTTAAGAACCCACCACATTTAGTAAAATCACACATTTTGTAAAACAGTTCATAGTCTCTTTCAAGAGTCTCATTCTGATTCAGTTGTTGACTCACTTCAACAATAGCAACAAAGAAGCAAACACTAGGAATCTAAAGATAAAAATAAGTATATACTATATTAAAAAGTGGCAAACCTAAATCTTCTAAAACGATAGGACATATATTTGAAAAATAGGGGGAAGAAAAATTATAATCAAATTACCTTCTCTGTCTTTCTTTTTTAATCTTTTTCTCCTCCTATCTATGGTTGCAACTTCAGACTTCAAAGACATGTAATACTTTCTGATTTCCTGTAGTTTTTCTTGGAGAAAAGAGATTCTCTCCGTACTGTTCATGTTATCTAATTCATCTAAAAGGGAAAAAAAGTAAATTTGGATTTAAAAATAATTCTATGAGAAAAAATGATGGCAGTTCTATCAAAAGTCCAATTCATAAATCAACAAACGCTTTAGTTTATTAAAACCTAACAGTACACTAAATAAGGCTCTATAAAAATGGAAGGCCTTAATTAAATTCACGAATAAGATTTCTATATATATCCCAAATATTCCACTAAACATGTATTACTTAATGATGTATTACTGAAATAATCAGAAAAGCACAAGGAAACATCAACATTCAGCAACTCTGATCTATAATTGTAGTTATTTATCCAAATAGTGTCTTTGTATTGATGTTTTCCTCATTTATTAGTTATTTCCAATTGTCAGTACAAGAAAGGGTGTTTAAGTTTCATCAATTTATATAAATCATACATGTCTCATTCCATAACTGGAGAGCTTTCTCCAATCAATATTTATCAAGTTAGTATTATAAAAAGACACAGATTTGTATTTAAGATAATAAGTAGTGATTATTAACAAGACAACATTTAGAATACCTAAATAAATGAATTTGCTAATCATTATTCCTTATTTTGACATTTCAAAATATATACCACTTTGTAATATACATTCAAGTTTTCTATAAGTTTCTTACTGAGTTGAAAACTCCACTTATATGTCCGAGGAGATGAATTCGGATGTTTTTCTTTCTGTTTATCTTTTTCTCCATCTTTGATGTGAGGGGATATTCTTGCAGGAGATCGTGCAAGCTTCTGTGGCTTAGATACACTAAGATGCTTTACTGGGGTACATTTACTTGAATTGTCTAGGACAGGAAGATCTTCACTATCACTGCTTTGTCCTATAATAAGAAAAAGTTGACTCAGGTTATAAATGATAAAAATCTCAAATATTGAAATGCAACAGACCCAGTAATTACACTTTTCGGTATCCTAAAGAAATAAATGCACAAATGTGCTAACTTTTATAACAATAAAAAGATGGAAATAACCTAAATACCCACCAAAAGGGAAATGGCTAAGAATTATATATCAGTATTATTGAATACTGTGCTAAAGTTGTTAAAAAGAATAAGCTAGAGTTCCTAAGAACAAAAATGGCAAAATATCCAAAATACATTGTGAAATGATAAAGTTAAAAAACAATAAGCACAGTATTGCCCCACTTATGTTTAAAACAAAACATAAAAACAACCCAAAAGGGGACCAACCCAAACTATACACATGAACAAGCATAAAATACACATCCAACTTTTAACATATGTATAATATATAAAATGTGTCAGATATTTGTTTGCAAGTCTACATCCCGCCTCACCAAATGTGTATTTAAAGATGCTTTTGGTTTTCACTTAATAACAAATTAGAATTTTCTCTCAACTTTTTCTGCTTTTTCCCAAAGTCTACACCCTACTTCCATACTATTCACTCTCAACAGCCAACCTTCCCTTCTACCGAAAAGGCAAAGTTGAGGGTTACACACTCACTTTCCCAGCCCCTCAACTACTGTATCTGTCCTTATCTCCCTTTTTGGGCCTCAAGAAGAGGAGACTGTTAATTCTGGGCAAACTAATCTCTTCAGCTATACTCTTGAAACCATTTATTCCCAGCTCCTCTGAAATATCCCAATGTCATTTTATCTTTCTTCTTTTTCCAGATGCTTCTTTAAGCATCTTTTTCCATGCCTAAAGCTTTCCTACCCTTAGAGAGAGAGGGAGGGAAGGAGAGGAAAGCATCCCCCTTTAGCTGGCACCTCTTTCCTTCTCTTTAGCGTCAAATTTCATGAAAGAGAAATTCTTTGTCATTCTTATTTCCATACTTTCTAATCATGTCTCCTTCCCATGCTCTTGTTAGGGCCCCAAACGCTTACTATTCACCAAATTCAATGAATATATTTTAATCCTACTTGAATATTCTATTGCATTTGAAACGTCTTTCTTATTCAAACCAACTAGTGTTTACTGATTTTCATTTATCTCTAATCTGCTTCTACTCTGCTATTCCTGGCCTATTTAAAGGGATATGCCACATAATTCCACTTCTGGTCCTTTTTCTTCTCATTTTACAACTCTCCCATAGCAGCTTTATCATCTTGTAATCCTTCAACAACTATCTTCTAAAAACAGACTTTCTTCGAAGCTCCAGAGCCTTATTTTCCTAATACGCGGTATCTCTAAAAGCAACATTCCCTAAATTACTCTTCCAACAGCCTGCTGCTACTCCTATATGCTATATGTCAGTTAACCAGTTCCTCATATCTAACTAATAATAATTGAGTACTAGTGATTTTATGTCCCAATTCTCTTAATTCATTCCTTCTTTCACTGTCTTAGTTAAGCCAAAGATTCTTTCCAAAAAGAAAAACTGATCATCTCCTTTCTTTTTTCCTTTTTAATCTTTTTAACTTTTTATTTTGAGACAATCTTCAAACTTACAAAAAAGAGAAGAACAATTACCAAAGAATGTTTTCCTGCCATTTGAGGATAAGTTGCCCTGCCATATTTGAATACTTTAGTGTTCTCTTCTTACAAATAAGAACATTCTCCCTGTATTAGTTATCTATAAATTAGCCCAAAACTAAGCAGTTTAAAACTACAGATGTTTAGTATCTCACACGGTTTCAGAGGGTTGAACTCTAGGAACAGCTTGGCTGTGTGGTCCAGCTCAGGGAATCTTGTGAGGTTGCAGTCAAGCTTTTAGCCAAGATTCTGGTCTCTGAAGACTTGACTGGAGCTGGAGGATATGCTCCAAGATGGCTCACTCACATGGCTGTTAGTGAGTGTTGGGAGGCCTCAGTTCCTTGCTGGCTGTTGGCAGGATATGCTCAGTTCCTCACCACGTGGGCCTCTTCATAGACTGCTTGAGTGACCTCACACCATGGCAGCTAACTTCTCCCAGAGCAAGTGATCCAAGGGAGAGCAAGAAGGAATTTGCAGTGCCTTTTATGACCTATTCTCTGAAGACATACTCCATCATGTCTACTTTATTAGTTAGAAGTGAGTCACTAAATTCAGCCCATACTCAAGAGGAAGGGATTAGGCTTTGCCTCTTGAAGGGAAACGTATCAACACATTTGTGGATATGTTTTAAAAACCACCACACTCCTAAAGAACCATAATACAACCACCAAAATCAGGAAATTAACACAGATATATTACTATCATCTAATCCTCAGATCCCACACAAGTATCTCTACTTGACCCGATAATGTTCTTTACAGCAATAGGATCCAGGTGAGAATTATATACTGCATTTAATTATCACACCTCATAAGTCTCCTTTAATCTGGAACGGTTCCTCTTTCTTTGACTTTCATAACCTTGACAGTTTTTAAAATCATAGGCCAGTTATTTTATAGAACATCCTTCAGTTTGAATTTGTTGATGGGTCCTCATGATTACAGTCAGGTTATACATCTTTGACAGGAATATTACAGATGTGCAGCTATGTTCTTCTTATTGCGTCCTGTCAGGTGGTACATTTCACTTTGTCCCATTACTGGTGGTGTTCACTTCATTTGACTAAGGTGATGTCTGCCCAGCTCAGCCACTGTAAAGTTCTCATTTTCCCTTTGTAATTCCTGCTGTCTTTCTAGTCTCATCTCCCATCACTCTTTCTCTATGCTCTAGACCTGTCTTGTCCAGCCACTAGCCATATCTGGTTATTGAGGACTTGAAATATGGCTCAAAGGTTTTTCTTTGAAATGCCTTTTATCTTAAATAAATTATATGCCCCTTCCTTGAAATATGTATCTACTGTAATCTAGAATTTCCCTTTCAGACTTGTATGAAGGCATGCTTTGGAGGTAAAGTTTTAATTTGTTAAAATCAACCATGTTTATTTCTATTTACTATATTCTACAACTTAATTTTACTCCTTATTGTACAGAAATCTGTTTTTCATGTAATCTATTCTTACTGGTTTACTAATTTTCCTGTTTTAGTAAGAATTTTATTTCCCCATATTTCAAACTTACTGTGTTACTATTTAAAAGTCAGTTTTTCTACATGAAAGGAGAACATTCCACTCAGAAATGTAAACTTAATCTGCTTTTATTACCAGAGCAAATGTTATTTTTCTTTTGTTCAAGATTCCCAAATGTATTCCTCTAATATTAAACTGCTTTACATAAGAAATACAAATGAAATAAGCATAAAAAATAACCACAGCTATCCCAGCTCTAAATAAAATTGATAAGCACCTTCAGATTAAAAACTAATGGAAAAATTGCTACTTTTCAGAACATAATAAACCAAACTGAGTTTTAAGCTGACACAAATGATCAAGCCAACAAACTGCTGAAAGTACTAACACCATACTAAAGCCAGCACTGAAAAGTACCAACCTGCTCCATTCTTTTCATTTTTGGCTACAGCACTTGTTCGCTTTGGGGTTCGCTTCTGCTTTTTGGCCAATAATCCACTAGTTCCATCACTTGGCCTTTTCTGACCTGAAATAAGTGAAAAGAGAGATTTAGAAAAAAAAAAATCAAGAGCAAGAACATTCATTCACCTATCTACTCTACACAAATTTCCACGTGTATGTTAAAAAGATAAAAAAGGAGGGGAGGGAGGGAGGGAGGGAAGGAAGGAAGGAAGGAGGGAAGGAGGGAAGGAGGGAAGGAGGGAAGGAGGGAAGGAGCGAAGGAGGGAAGGAGGGAAGGAGGGAGGGAGGGTACTTAACAGATCATTAGTTCCTAAAACTCTTGGCTCACTAGTTTTTGGTTTTAATATAACGGTTGATTTTCTCCCTAGGAAGTCCTTACCCTTCTCTCTGCTCTCTCTTTCTTGAACAATTATACTACAGGTACCAGAGGCAACGCTGGCTTCAAATCCATTTGCTGATTCCCTCTCACAGAGACCTTCTTGAGATTCTTCAGCAATACTATCGACCTCAATGGTTACGTCACTCTCACTTTTTATACTTCGAGACTCATCTTGGCTGAGAGTAAGTGGTGAAGCCACTGAAAAGTTATGCTGTACTGCAGGAGGTAGGGCAGGTGGAACAGAAACAAGACAGTTAGATTCAGAGCTTTCAACTACTACATCCTCAGTACTGGTCTTATCCTTTTCATCCAAATCGTCCAAATCTACTTCATGGCAAACCAAGGTTTCCGGCCCAATCAGAGGCATTGCATCCTCTTCTTCTTTTAGCGGAGTATTTACAGTTTCTTCAGCTGGACTATCAAATTTTTCTTTAGTCAATTCTTGAATGCATTGGTTTGGCTCTGCTATTAATGATGGCATTCCTTCATTTTCTATTTCAAAGTGTTGTTCAAAATTTAAGTTTTTCATTCCGTCAGATGCAACACAATCACTGGTCCTTTCTTGAGAAATACTATTTGTCATTTCCATTCCATTCTCCATTCTTACTTTTTTCTCTGGTGATGACTGTCCCAGTATTTTCCGTTTCAACTTTTTTTCTTTTGCACACTGGTCAATTTCATCTTCTGTAGCAGAAGAAAAGTTTTTATTGTCTAATGAAGAAAATTCTATACTCTGAGCTTCTATATGAGGCTCAGTTCCTGCTTCATCCTGGCTAAATGATGAAATCTTTATAATTTCTAAAGAAAGATCTTTTGTCTTGCTTCGTCTTCCCTTTCCTTTAGGAGATTTCTCTGCCTCTTTCTTAATTTCTTCTACTTGTTCCACTTTATTTCCAAAAATCTGTACTACTTGTTCATTCTCTCCAACTTCTAACTTCAAGGTTTCTAAAGGCTGCATTTGAGTCCTATCATTTTCTTTTAATATATGTGCAGCAATCTTTGGATTTTCTTCATCTAGTTTATCATCACTTAAACTTTCATTTTTTTCTAATTCTTCTTTAATATCAGGAGAAAGTTCTTCATTCATCAAATTCTTTTCTAAAAGGTCTTCTGTTTCACTATCAGATGAACAGGAGTCTGCAAGAGGAAATACTGTATTACAAAGGTTTCTATCTTAATTACCAATGCAATTTTATAATAAAAATTCTGCCAAAGACAAAACTCTTTATCAAGTACCTCTGAATACCTCCTTGTAGAAATTTCTTATGTAAAATAAATCAGGACTTCCCTGGTGACACAATGGTTAAGAATCCGCCTGCCAATGCAGAGGACACGGGTTCAAGCCCTGGTCCGGAAAGATCCCACATGCCGCAGAGCAACTAAGCCTGTGCACCACAACTACTGAGCCTGTGCTCTAGAGCCCACACGCCACAACTACTGAGCCCGCACGCCGCAACTACTGAAGCCCGTGCACCTAGAGCCTGTGCTCCGCAACAAGAGAAGCCACCACAATGAGAAGCCCACGCAGCAAAATGAAGAGTAGCCCCCGCTTACCACAACTAGAGACAGCCCACGCGCAGCAACAAAGACGCAACGCAGCCAAAGATAAATAAATTTAAAAAAAATGAATCATACATTTGTGCCAAAACGGGGGAGGGGGGACCTCAAATTCCATGTGAAAATACATTGCATAGAAAATATTACTGTCTCAATTCTATAAAAGAGCTATTTTGCAATTTTTACTAGTATCGTATTTAGGCTACAGTAACCCCTAGAAAAAGCAAAGGACTAGTACTGAGATATGAAGTTAATATGTTAAGTGGTTTGATCTGAGATCTAGAAGGTACTGATTAATAAATGAGATGCCCATTGTGTGTCCTTAGAAAGGAATATGATATTCTACTTAATTCTGAAAAGATGTACAGAATGAGAAGCTTGAATTCTCAAAACTTTAAATATTCCTCTGATTAAGAGACAGGAAAGTATAGGCCAGCTACCTTAAATCATTCTCTTTAACTCAGAAAATTTTTAAAATAATAACTAGGGTTCTAAGACGGTACAGAAGTTGTAAAATACAAAAATTCTACCCACATAGTGCTCATATTCTAAAGAAGTGCAAAAAAGCAAGCTTAGATGTACTTTTTAAGTGAAAAGGTGTGTAGTTTTATTTTGTGGTTTTATCATATACAGAATTCAGAATTTTTTCTCGTGGTAAAAAAAGTAGGGACTTCCCTGGTGGCACAGTGGTTAAGAATCCACCTGCCAATACAGGGGTCACGTGTTTGAGCCCTGGTCCAGGGAGATCCCACATGCCCCGGAGCTACTAAGCCCTTGCGCCACAACTACTGAGCCTGCGCTCTAGAGCCCATGAGCCACAACTGCTGACCCCATGTGCCACAACTACTGAAGCCCGCGCAGCTAGAGCCAGTGCTCCGCAACAAGAGAAGCCACCGCAATGAGATGCCCACGCACCGCAACAAAGAGTAGCCCCCGCTCACCGCAACTAGAGAAAGCCTGCACGCAGCAACGAAGACCCAACGCAGCCAAAAATAAATATAAACAAAATAAATAAATTTTTTTAAAAGTAGTTTTTTACTTTTATGAAGTAGTTTAGCAAGACCATGTACAGTTCTGTAGACTATATACTGCACATGGGCATGCATCTAAGAGGGCATCTTCCACTTTGCGGACGTCTTGCATTTGTGTATTATGACAACCTTCCAGCAGATGGCAGTAAAGAGGAGGAAAGATGCCGTTTTCTCCACATGGTGGACTCACGGCAATCCTGTGGTTCAGAAAAGCTTTTTTCTTCAAGGGAGGGAAATTTTTATATGAACGTTTTTCTAAATTTAACATTTCTTAAATTACATGGAAAAATATACAAAGGTAGAAAAGTGGGAAAAACGGTAAAATCAGAATAAAATATGTTCACCTATATTCATCACAAAACATGCCTCTACCACATTAGTTTGTCCTGTCTTTGAACAACAGTCACAACTTTATTGAAAGATCCTAGGTGAACAGCAATAGATTACAGGAGACACTGGTACACATGCTTTGTAGGACAGTGCAGCACACAGGAGGACGCATGGCTTGTCAACGCATCCTCTGTTAAAATAGAATATTCCTAGGGGGTAATTCCCTGGTGGTGCAGTGGTTAAGAATCTGCCTGCCAACGCAGGGGACACGGGTTCGAGCCCTGGTCCGGGAAGATCCCACATGCCACGGAGCAACTAAGCCCACGTGCCACAACTACTGAAGCCCGTGCACCTAGAGCCCGCGCTCCGCAACAAGAGAAGCCACCGCCACCGCAATGAGAAGCCTGCGCACTGTAACGAAGAGTAGACCGCAACCAAGAGTAGACCCCACTCGCCACAACTAGAGAAAGCCTGCGCACAGCAACGAAGTCCCAATGCAGCCAAAAATAAATAAACAATTTTTAAAAAGAATATTCCTACGGTATTAACAAGAAAAGTTATTCCTAATTAAGTAAAACATCACTAAATTTTAAATAAACATGATACAGCAAAATAAACACTTTCTTCAAATCAAATTTTGTAGTTTAAATCATATAGTAAAAGCCTAGGGACTTTTCTGGTGGTGCAGTGGTTAAGAATCCGCCTGCCGAGGCAGGGGACACAGGTTCGATCCCTGGTCCGGGAAGATCCCACATGCCGTGAAGCAACTAAGCCCGTGCACCACAACTATTGAGCCTGTGCTCTAGAGCCCGCGAGCCACAACTACTGAAGCCCAGATGCCTAGAGCCCGTGCTCCGCAACAAGAGAAGCCACGGCAATGAGAACCCGCGCACCGCAACAAAGAGTAGCCTCCGCTTGCCGCAACTAGAGAAAGCCCGCGCACAGCAACAAAGATCCAACACAACCAAAAATAAATAAATAAAATTCATTCCTTAAAAAAAAAAAAAAAACCTAGATGACTTTCTATGAATCTCTCGCAAAACTGAAGTTTTATTGTTTTTATTATTGATTTTTAAAAAACCAGTGATTCTCAGAATTCAGCACCTTCCATTCCATTTGACAGAGGTGAGCTGTCTGGCATATTGATGTGAGCACTTCTGGTACCTGATTTTCCGTCGCTGTTTGGAGTCTTAGACAAACCATATGGCATGTTTGATGAAAGAGTAGATTTTAAAGGAGGTCGTCCCCGTTTTGACTTCTGCCTCTCCTCATCCCTCTTTTCATCCTTTTCACTGTCTTCTTTGTTCTGGGTAACAACAACAAAATGTATGAGAAGCACCAGCCTATGAAAAATGAACAGTCTACTTCTCCAAGGAAAACTATAACTCAAAAAGGTCTGTTATGTCAACTCCTAATCTGTAGTTATGGAAAAATTAAAATTAAATCGTTTTCTAAAATATTTTTGTACTTATGTGAATATGATGTTCTACAACTTCAACTTGTAACACTGCAATTATATCATGAAGGTCAGAGTCAGTACATTAGAGAGCTATACACTACTCAGCTCTCCCCCTTGTTTCTTACTATTCCCTGAGGAAAAGAAAGATACGTCATCATCTCTATAGCAAAGGCTGAAAATTGTGGGCGTGCATGAGGGTACAACTGGCCAACATATGTCTTAAAATTTAGTATCAGCTTCCAGCATTTAAAAATTAGATTTCACATTTTAAAAAATACAGTTGTCTTGAAAAATCCTAAAATCTGTCAACCCTGGGTCTGCATCCCACAGCAGAGTGGTTAGTTCCATTCTCTCTAGATGAGGAATTTGACCTCTTCTTTGTCACTCTCAGTCCTACTTTACACCCCTTTTCTAGAGAACCTCATAGGCCTTTGTGTTTGAAGTCTGTGCCCTAGGGGTCGCTGGTTTTCACCTTTCCTGAAACAGCGTGGTAATGTGTTTACATTTTTTACTTTTTAAGCTTCTGTGTTGTAGAAGAAAAATCACAATTACTTTGAAAGACTCAAGATGATTATACAATGAGAAAACAACGTTTACAGAAAATACAATATGAATAATTCCTGTACCTATCATAAAGGATATGGCACCTATGTACATACTTTAGCTTTCTTCTTCTGTTTTTTCTTTGGTCCACCTTTGTCCAACGGCCAGATTATCCTGTCAGCCTTCACCCATTCATCATACCTTAAAATAAAGAATATATTAAAAATTCACAAGAATACCTTATTTGAAAGGTACTCACCAAATAAAAACAAGTGAGATAGGCTAAAGAATTTGGTTCTAGCGTTGGCAGAAATGCGAAGGGCACGGATGCTAGTTTGCTGGTAACATGTGTGCCAAGTACTCTACTAGATGTTTTATGTACCTGCCCCCAACAGGGCAAGGCAAGAGAATTTCTCAGGGAAAACAGGCTTACAGGGATAGCAGGGTAGGCAAACTCTAAATAGATTCAAGATTGTTTGAACTGCCTTCTTTTCCACAACTCCCACACACCTGAGCTTAATGAAATAAGTGATTCTGCACTGGAATTCATTCTATTGATCGAATAATGCAAAACAAGTCAGGTAAATTCAAGTTTGTAATGTGCTCAGTTCCAGATTATTTTATGAAGTCCTTTTCAACTCTTTTCCTCTCAGAACTCTCTCTAGCCTCCAGTATTTCTAATACAATTTTATTCTGAATTGTACCACCTCTAAGACTGAAATTTTTTATAGATATTTCCTTTACCTACGTTTACTCTGTTTAGCTCAAGTTGAGAACTCCTCATTTTCCCCTTTCCCAAAATACTGACATCACTTCTAAATTTTAACATAGTCAGTCCAAGTTACTAATCAGGGGCAAATAAGGAATTAAACTTCCTAGAACTAAATAACAACTTTCGTATTATATGAATATATAGGTATTTATAGAGCTCAACCAGAATCTAAAATCTGAACATTTAAGCAAAAAAACTACAGGCAGTCCTCGCTTTGAACTTCACCATGATGACGAGAACCATACCCTCACTTTGTTACCGAATTACCGTGAAGTCACGCAAAAGAAGGACACTGTTCCAATATGCGCAAGTTCAGCTGACACAGTACCATGACTACCTATATATACTATGGTTTAAAAATGATCTTCTCCTGCATTAACCCAATATCTAGCAGTATGGAAGGTCAATGAAAACCCATAACCATGTGAATTCCAGTTAGGTAACCAGTTAGGAAGAACATGAGCATGTAATAAAATGACTGTGAAGAAGAGTCATACAGTAAAACATTAAAAAAATGAGACAGAAGGATGACAGAAGGGGGAAATTACACTGATGGTAAATAAAAGTAGATGGATGTGAACTAAATAGAATCTGAGGAAAAAAGGCTACAATGGGCTGCAACTGCAAAGCAGGGACTCGAGGTTGGTAAGTGCGGTCTTTCTTCCCAAATTCAGTACATACATACAAAACAACTGGGAGATGGACGAAAAAGTTTGTTTTTAGTGTTGGCAGAAATGTGAAGGGCACAGGGGCTGGTTTGAGAAAAGAGAAAAGAAATTTTAAAGTTTTATACGCTATTCGTTAAAACCATACTCTTCTAAAATGACGTGAGAGGACAGAAACCAAACTCCCCCTCACTAAAGAAAAGTTAACGTTTATTGAGCACTTACTAGCTATATTAGGCACTAATTATATTAACTTTGCATGTTAATGTAGATATTAGCACTGCTTCTCACAGAATCCCTGTAAAGTAGGTACTCTGTCTTCCCCAATTCAGATGAGAGAATTGAGGCATAACAGGGCACACACTGAGTATGTAGGGAAATTTTGGAGCACTCTGGCTCAAAGCAACTACAGGGCAAGCAGAGATACTGAACACACAAGACTTTCTAAAGGAGAAAGAGAAAAGTAGTCCCTGCCATTCAGGAACTAGCCTGGTACTATTAGCTGGGCCTTGCTGTTGCTACGGAGCTGTTCTGGCCCTCACAGCTTGGGCGTGTTGTTCTCATGTTGAACGTGAACAATTTCACAGAACATCAACATCAGACAGGTCTGTTCCGTGACCATAATGGATCAAGACAAAAACAAGACCACTCCCTAGTTGTGTCTCAACACAGAAAAAAACAGGAACATTTTCCAAGCCACAAAAATGACCAAGCATCCTTTTTTTTCCTGACTGCTGCTGCTTTACCAATTATAGCACTAACCTTGCTCTAGTCTTCTCTCCTTATAGATAAGATTAAGATAACCAATCACAGAATTACCCCCCACTTCTTGACAGCATCCAGTCTAGAGCAAAGCCCCACTTCCTTAAACCCACCCCAAAATCACCTAACAGAAGCTCAGATCTAAGTCCTATCTAACATTCTTTTTTTATTAATTAACCAATTCAGAATTGTTACAGTGCTTGATACAGGTTTGATTTCTGATAAATTTAATAAATAAACAAACAAACAAAACCACTTGCACTGTTGGGCGCCATGGGCCTGGCTCCCTACAGGATGTTTCCACAGAATCCTGGGCTATTGCTTTTCCCCAAGGTGGTAAGCTTTCACAGATCCACCCTCTAACTGAGGTGCCATGTGGTTCTCCAAGCTGTGTGTTCTCCCTCACTGAAAATGAGTAATAAATCCAACTTGTTCAACTACAGATGTGATCCTGGTGACCTTTGGCTGGAAGTATTGACATAGCTAGTAAAACAGTGGGAATGATAGGAGTCTTGGAAAATTCAGATACAAGGTGTGCTTTGTAAATACATATATACTATTTGCTTTAGTTCTTTAAAACATTAAATTGATCTTTCTGAACCAATGAAAGAAATTTCAAAAAAAGAAAATAATTTCTTGCTTACCTGACATTCCATCCATAGTAATGTACCAAGTATAAAACTTCTCCATCATCAATTTCAGTGCCTTTAATACTGGCTTCATAGATTTTCTGCGTTTTCCCTCGTCCATATTTTACTTTCACTTTGGTTCCTGTTAGGCAAGGTTCTGTGTCTTCCTCATCTTCCTCCCCTTCAGAGTCACATTTGCTTTCGGTTTCTTCCCTGCAGTAAGTTATAACATTGATAATGCTACTAATAACTTAATGGAAAACAAAATAATATATGCTAAAAGAATCCAACATGTAGAAGAGTCATAACCTAATTCATGTCAGTGGAGGAGGAGAAGAAGGAGGAGAAGGAGAAGATTTTTACAGACTACTTACTAAGGACTTTATTTACTATGTAAAGGTGCACTGTACCAAAAGGAAATCCATACTTCTTAAAGGCCAATCAATAATCACAGTTAATGATGATGTGGAGTCAAATAAGTCACTTTTGGAAAATAAGGACAACATGCTTTGAGAAAAAGTCTTTAGGATTCATACTCAAGTGCCACCTTACAGGTGAAAATGACCTAAAGATAGTTTTTAACTTCCTGCAACTAAAATGTCTTTTAAGTCTACTTTACTACTACTTTCTGCTCAATTCAGAATGGTTCTTAACCAAGACTAGTTTTTTGGTGGGCAAAATAATGAACAAGGGCTAACTACCTTAGTAACTCTATCTTTTAAATTATTGATAGTTTCTATTTTAAAGGTTTCCCCACCCTAACAAAGAAACGATACTTGAGTATTAGGCCACTTGTTATAACTGTGGCATAGCACCAGGAGAACAAAGCTTTGCATATCTAATGTTGGTTCCTATTTGTTTTTACGCATCTCCCATCAGTTCTTCTTTGTTTTGATAATCAGATATAAAGGAGATTCACATAGGGAGGTCCAACAATATTTTTCATATTTTTATAAATAAAACATTCTTTATTAGCCTGGCAAGGATTCAGAAAAGATTTGCATCAAAGATCACACTAGTGTCACAAGAGTTTTAAAAAGCTTAAAAGGAGGTACTGTGTTCTGTCATAAACATAGGGCATTATTTTAGGGACCACTGGGGGACCCGACATGAAGAAGCTTTGATAACCCCATTAGCAGTGGGAATGTTTTCTTTCCAAGGGCATCTTCCAATTACATCCTCATAAGGTAATTTCAAAACACCATGAGAAGCTACTTAAGACAGAAGTCTCTATAAATAAAAAAGTTTCCTATTTCCATAATTCCTGCTACTGAATGAGAATACAGACTATGTTTGTATATTCAATTTTTATTTAGTAAAAGGAAATACCATTCTTCATATTCAAGTCTGAAATTTTCTGCCTCTAAAATAAATATTCCATTTACATATCAATTAATTATAAAGGCTTTTCAAACCACATAATGTGTATGTGTATATATGTGTATTACATGTTTGATGCATTACTATAAAATATACACATTTTGATGCTTATTTTTAACACATCTTCAAACTGTAATTAGGCCTTACGTTTTAGGTGGTTTATCTTTGCTTAAATTTATTGTCCGAATATTTCAAATACTATACTCACATCATTATACTCAACTCCAATTATTTCCTCCCACCTTCCCTAATCCTAATCCTATTTCACGACAGAACTTGCTTTATTCACTAACCTAATTCACATGTAATTGTGAAAGCTCCTGCACCTATTTATACTGAATCATAAAATTGCCTCTCCCACCCACCAATCATTACTATTTTTCCAGTAATTTTCTCAACAGTTAATTTTCAGATGGGTGTCAGCCACTAGTCGGAGGCAGCAGGCCACTGTTCCCAATTTTGCTTAGTAACTCGAATTTCTAGAAAATTTAGCATCAGATGATAATCAAAAAATAACTATGGAGGAGAGCTTCTATACAAGTAAGTGTGTTATGCTGCTGTTGCTGAATTAAAATTCATTTTTTAGTAGTGTCTAAAAATTAGTAAATCCATTTGACAACAAAGAAATGGCCAACTGAACATAGTTGGACATTACCGTGATCTAGCTAGACTGCCTAATCATTGGTTATTTTTAAGTCAATTCAGTCCATACGTGTGTAATACATGAGAAAAAACAAAAACAGTTTTCATTCAACAGCAAACAGGATGAACATTAAAAGGCCGAAATTTAATTGTTGTGATGTGGGGCAAGAATGTACTTTCCAAACTAGAATCAGGGGTGCATGCCACTTATTCTAATACAATACCTTGAAAAAGAAAAATGTCTTAGATAAAGCTAACACACAGAAACATCTGCTAGTACTGTGCACCCATGTGTTTGTTAGCTTTCCCAAATTGTACCTTTTTTAAAATGGAATTTTTGCTGTCGCTGTTTCCTCTTGTCCACTTCCTCCATTTTTCTCCAGCTCCCTTCCCTGCTGTCAACTGCAGGACCTTTCTTTTGACTGGGTGGCGCAGCCTTCTTTGAGGCCACTGTTTAGGGCACAAGTGCTATTAAAATGGTGCGACCAGTATATTCTCCAATTCCGAAAGGCGATACACATCATCTTCACAATGTGTCTCACCTTCATTAGACAAGAGGAATGGAAGTCCCAATAAGAAAACATTCCCTCAAACCTGAATCTCTAAGCAGGAACAGAGCGCTGCTGTACCCCAGACAGGTGCTTCTGGAGAACAAATATAAGATCATATACCTCTCTTGGCTCTTCTCTTCCTCTTCCTCTGAGTCTTTGTCAGAATCCTCCTGCTTTTTAATTTTCTTCTCCTTTTGCTTTGGTGTATTTTTTCTCCCCAGTAGTAACTCATTTTCTTTTTTCTCTGCAGTTTCATAGTCATCATCTTCATCCTTATTTTCTGTATCATTATCTTTTAATTTGTCTTCTGTTTTCTCTTCTTCAATTTCCTTTTTAATAGAATTTGCATCTCGAGCAATTCTCCTTCGTCCCTAATAGGGGGATAAAAGCTTTAAAGTAACTATCACTACAAAGGGCAAAAAAACATAGAAAAATGCATCTTTTCCTTAAACCTTCACAGCAATGACTCGTCTTCTCTCTAGCTTGAGACATGACACTGATAACCCATCAACTCCTGAACACTTTTCTCTTCCTCTCAAAAGGTAAAGAATAACCCATGTAAATTACTTAATTATGTCCAAGTGTACTATGATCCCTGGCTACATACTACATAAAAAATAAAAATTTTCTCCTGTGTTCACTCTATTATCTCACTTTTAATATTTCCTGACTATAATAACATTTTTTAAAGAATTATCTAAGTGTCAATGATGTAAGTTAATAATAATAAATCAGTCCCTTAAGTTTTTAGAAGTTCTGTCATCTCTAATTCTACTGTTTACGAAGATGAAATTAACATATCACTGTGTTTCAGTGTGATTACATTTTAAAAGGACTGAACTGTATCAATGGCCAAAAAGTGAGCTCATTTCTTTGAATGAGTATCTGGAGAGCTCACTAGGCCAGCAGTAACTTGTTATACGCCCAGCAGCTTTTATCCAGTCTCTCGCTGCATGCTCAAATGACCATGAAACTGTTGAGCCATTTCATTATCTCCTAAATTCTCCTTCCAGTCAACCTCTATACACTGGCAGAATTCCCCTCTACTTGGAATAAAGTGAGGATAAAAAAAGAGCCAAGAACTTTGGGAGCACTAGAATACTTAACAATATCTCAGTATAACAAATGTTTTACCTAGTTGCCGACTATGTGCTATTTAAACATCAAAGGTCGGGGAAAAAAAGAACTTAAATGTAAGTTCCATGAGGGCAGGGTCTCTGTCTTATTCACTTCTGTAACCTCAGATCTAGACAGTGCCTGGCACATGACAGGTGCTCTTTAAATATTTGTAGGTAAATGAATGAAAGCATCTGTTATCCATCAAAATTTAGGTTTGTATAACTTATACCTTTATCCCAGAAATCCCATTTTTAGAAGTCTGGCCTCTGTATTCAGATAAATGAGGAGGACATTTTTACAAACCTCTATATTTAGATAAATGGGGAGGACATTTTTACAAGCATATTTATTGCATCACTTTTTATAATCATAAAAAATTGGACAAAATCTTGAGGAAGGTAAATTTATGATACCTCCATACTACGCAGTACTCTGCAGATGTTTTACATAAAGATGAGGAGGGTCTTTATGTAATGACAAGGAAGTATGTCCACAATACATACAAGGGATATTATTCAGTCTTAAAAAGGAAGGAAGGGCTTCCCT